TGCAACGCTGACTAAGAATCTAAAACCCCTAAAGCTCCTAAAACCCTGTGACCCTACCTAAAACCCCTAAACCTTAAAACCTAAAACCCTAAACCCCTATGCCCAGGCCAAGCCGGGTTTAGGGTTTCGGGTTTTGGGGTTCAGGGTTTATGGTTTACACAGGAACTACGACATTGATTCTGTGCAGGTCCCCTCCCCTCAAGGTTGAAACAAATGCCCTCTACTCTGTGGAAGCCTGATGTCTTGAGCCTGTTGCTCAAGAGGAATCCAGTCCAGGATTCCCAAACTTCACAGCAGGAGGGAGGGAGGGGCCCGAATCGTTTCGAAGCGGCCACGGCAAAAGAGCAGATCCTGCAGTCTACGCCCCGGCGGTGCGACGGGGGAGTAGACCCGGGGAGACCCGGGAGTAACCTAGGAATAAAAAGGGCACCCTTTTTGGGTTTAATTATGGGGATTATAAGGGAACCCCAACCCTTAAAAAAGGAAAAAAAGGGCTTACTCCTGATCCTGGGTTCGGTTGGAGCAAGCAAGGTAAGCCTTCGAACTTTCAACCCAGGGGAGCTGTGACAAAGACCGCCGCAGCCCCATACCTACCACTGCAGTACACAAAGCATTCCAAAAACAACAAACCCTTAAACCCTAAACCCGCACAAGAACTTACCTTGCCGAGGCAGCAACTGCAAGAACTGCTGGGCCAATGGCTGCAAAAATCAATTCCTGCGATAACCTTCGCTACTAACTCGTTGTTGCCCACATCGTGCATGTCTACTTTAGGGTTTAGGGTTTAGGGAATAGGGCCCTACCACCCTGCCCCAAGGCGCAGCCACTGAAACGAGTTGCCCAAGGGGCAAGTAAAAAAAGGAAGCGGCCCGCGGCGCTTTGCGCGGGCAAACGCGTCCTAGTCTGAGGAAGAAGTCTCTTCACTGGTCCAATCCTGCTCGTTTTCCATACCTCGGATATGCACACAGGATCACAAGACTGATGCGTTTAGGGGTTTATGTTCGGATGTTCCGCCTTCTGCTAACAGTCCTAAATAGGGTTTGTAATACAAGGTTTATGGTTTCAGGGGACCCTCATTTAGACCCCCAAATAGGAGGAGCCCCTTATAATAAGGACCCAATAAGGTACCCCCTAATATCGGAAACCCCCTCAGGGTTTACGGCTTTAATTCCGGGGCCCGCGCGTCGACACGGCTTCCGGACGACCAGGGCACAGAGGGCCGAAGCCTGCGCGGACCCGGGAGCGCAGAAGAAGTTTAGGGTTTAGGGTTTAGGGTCTAGGGTTTAGGGTTTAGGATTTAGGGTTTAGGGTTTAGGGTTTAGGGTTTAGGGTTTAGGGTTCAGGGTTCAGGGTTTAGGGTTGCGGGGTTTAGGGTTTGGGGTTTAGGGGTTTGGGGTTCAGGGTAGGGTTTAGAGCCCCCTCGCCCCCGGCACATACACATTACACATTACGCGATACACATTGCACATTACACATTGCGGACAATACATGCGCATACTCGTATCCAAAACAAATGCATGTGCATAGACAGATGCATACGAGAGTGCAAAACATACAGAGAAACTTCTACATGTACATACACATACACATGTTCATAAACACACGCATCTGTGTATGCATATGCGTATACATAAGATATGTAGATACATATACATATACATCTACATATACATATGCATATACATATACATATACATATACAGATACATATACATATACATATACATATACACGCACATATGCAGTAGTCTATGGATATATATATATATATATGTTGCATACAAAGATATGTACTGAACTATTCGTATCTGGAGTTATATTTGTTGAAACTCTCCCCTCCAAATCATTGTTTTGCGCGCTACTCTGTTGTTGATACTCTCATTGCTGTTGAGGATACTGGGAGGCAGGTATACGTGGACGTACGTATCAGCTGCATGTGCTGATTTTATGCATATTCAACAAACCGCACGCACCCGGTCTAGATGTGGTATGGTGCCATCTCGCAGCAAGCCCTATGTTCCACTGGACGCCCAGCAGCCAAGATAAGCGTGCTGATCCCCAGCAAGATGACCGCAGTCCAAAGGGCTGCGATCGGACCTGCAAGGACAAAAAAAACCCTGAACCCTGCGCCCTAAACCCAAAGAACACTCAACTAAGTCCATCCAGCAACTTAGGGAGCAAAAGTGTAGCCTTCCTTCTGCGGATTTAGGGTTTAAGGTTTACATGTTGGGGCCCCAAGTGTTCCGAAGTGCTCTCGTGTTTTCGGATATTTTGACGGGTGTTGTGGATGTAGTACAGGGCTTGGGGCTTTAGGGCTGTAGGATCATCAGGGAGTCTAGAGTTTAGGGTTCATAGTATTTTGCCTCGGGTTTTCAAGAATCGGCTGAGAAACTAGGGTTTGGGACTTTGAGGCAAGGATCTTAAGGTTTGGGGCTTCCGGGAATTACGGGAATTTCGGGGCTTAGGTTGTCGGATTTATGGGTTTCGGGCTTCGGGGCAGAGGGGCTTCAGGATTTGGGGGTTCGGGGTTTAGGGTTTAGGGCTTGCAGTTCGGGTTTAGGGTTGGGGGCCGTAGGGTTTAGGGCTTCAGGCTGCGTTCTGACTCGGGGGGCTTCAGGATTGCGGGTTTAGGGTTTAGGGCTTAGGGCTTAGGGTTTAGGGTTTAGGGTTTAGGGTTTAGGGTTTAGGGTTTAGGGTTTAGGGTTTAGGGTTTAGGGTTTAGGGTTTAGGGTTTAGGGGTTAAGGGCTTTGTTGGCTATAGGGTCGTGAAAGGGAAGCTTCGGGAGTAGTAGGAGTATTAGGGAACCTTGGGTTACACACCCCCCCTTGAACTCCCCTCCCTTAAGAACCCTTAAATGAATAGGGAACCTTAGGGAAGCTGAGCCTTAGGGAGTATATACCCCATTAGAACCCCCCCTCCCTTAAGAGCCCTATAAGTTGGAGTTGGGGTTCTGGGGCTTGAGGTTTTTGGGCTTCAGGGTTTTAGGGGGCTTGGGGTTTCTTTCCACCCTAAACCCTATACCCATCTAAGCCCTAAACCCTATACCCTGAACCCTGAACCCTAAACCCTACACCCTCAGCCATACACCCCAAACCCTATAAAACCAAAACCCTCGAAAAGTCCAAGAACAACCCTGAACCACTACGACCATACAAGCTGAACTAAGCTGCAACCCCTAAGCCCATGACCCCTGTAGACCCTCAACCCAGACGCCAAACCACCCCCTCCTCCCCCCCCCCCCTCCCCGGCGCCCCCCCCAGGTTCATCTAAAGCCTAAACCCTAAACCCTAAACCCTAAACCCTAAACCCTAAGATTAGGGTTTCCCCTCTTCCGGATCGTGGTGGGGTTACAGCACAGGGTAAAGGTTCAGGGTTCATTAGGCACCTAAGGTTCGGGGCTTCCCCTCTTCCCCCCCCCTCCCCCCATGGTTCATGGTGGGTGGTTTAGGCTCTATTTCTAGGGCGGACTGCGGGGAACGAGGCTTAGGATGTAGGGATCAGCTTTTGTAGTTTTTTCGAGCTTTAGGGCTTCAAAGGTGCGGGGGTAGTGGCCTCATCGTTTTTTTTAGGGACCCCAAATAGTGGGATTCAAGCTACACAGACCCCTACCAAAGGATCCTCACCTTTCGGAACTTAACACGTCAGCCTGCTGCGTCTTCCGAGGAGCTCTTGTGGCCAAGGAAAGAGAAATACATCTTTTTGGCGCCCGAGTTGCACGAGTGAGAAGTTCGAGTCTGCTTGTAGGCGGATGTTTCCCTACCTTTGGAACCCAAGAGGCTGTAACCTCAGCACCTCAAGTTTTCCCTGCAAAACCCAGCTTCACGAAGCTATCGCTAAGCCGCTCTCTCATGGCTGCAGTACTCCAGAAAGGATCTCCCCACAGGTCATCAGGCACTGGAAGTGAGCTTTCATCCCATGTCATGGGCACATCCGCTGCCATCATGCACCTCAACTCCCGCTCAAGAGCGTCTCTACCCCCTGGTATGATCATGGTCTCTGCCATGGCATCCAAAAAGTCATCTTGCACTTCTTTCAGATAGACAGGAGACTTCCCTTTGCCTGACAATGCATGCAGATTTCTCGCCAGGCCGTCGCATTCAATGATGATCTTCGCAAGCTCTCCCGCAAGGATTCTTTCGCGGACCTCGTCGTCGAGAAACACGTGTTCCTGCCACATTCTCAAAGCTAACATAAGGCGACTTTCAGGAAGCTGGGGTTCCAACCAAGATTGGCAATCAACCACATGAATAAAACATCAGGCATGTAACAACAGACCCCTAATTACGCCCGTCCTGCTCACTCTTCGACTCCTGCGGATACCTGGTGTTCTTACGGCTGGACTCAAGTCTGAGGCTGTCTCCAAGAGGCGTTGAAAAGACATAGTCTCTCTCCCATGACATGAAGTTGCGAAGGTGCCTGCGGCTTGGGTCACCAAAACTATGCTCGCCAGTGTTTACCAGCAGAGGAACGACGTAGTGGCGCCCATCTTGGCAGAGCGTCCGAAGTTGCCAGGGGCTCCCCCTGAAAAAGAATAGCCGACTTGCATAAAAGTGCTTCACCGTCTCCATGTACTTATCATTCGGTGGCAGGGCGGAGGTATTGTATCGCAACACCTGGACAACGCTTTCCTCCGCATTTTGTGAGAAGGCTGGTTTAACTGAGAAGTGGTTCTTTCTCCTAATCCGCGAAGGAGGCAGCCACTGCTTGGAGAAAAAGCGATATAAAGCTCGAAACATGGCTGGGGGATCTCACACACAAGAAGGGCCCCAAGGAGCAGAGTCTGAGTAGTTGGATGATCATGATATATGCACCCGTAAACCCTAAACACCAAGGAAGGAAACCCCCACTGCCTCTACTCACGAGCCGAGATGCTTTGGCATAGAATTCAAGTTGAGGGTTGGGGGTTTAGGTGCCCTCCCCCCCTTTTGGTGTGGTGGCTTTAGGGTTAACGGTCAGGGGTTGGGGGGGCGTCCAAACTGCTGATTTTCATGTGTGCCCCTTACCTGACGCCACCAAAATCAGCGTGGCCCCAGGCCACGACAGATCCGTCGTCCAGGATTGCGGCAAAGGCGCGTCGAGAAGCCTGGATTTGCTGCACGCCCTTCAACTGATCTTGCACGGACTCGCAGTCGCCACTGTCGCCGCCAGAATCAGCAGCGCCCCAGGTCACGACAGATCCGTCATGCAGGACTGCGGCAAAAGCATGTTGAGAAGCTTGGATGTGCCGCACGCCCTTCAGCTGAGCTTGCACTGAGCTGCTGTCGCCACCCGCAGCAGCGTTGCCCCATGTCACGACAGATGCATCCCCGAGGAGTGCAGCAAAAGCTGCCACTGAAGCTTGGACGTCCCGCACGCCCCTCAGCTGAGCTTGCACTGAACTGCTGTCGCCGCCAAAGTCAGCAGGGCCCCAGGTCACGACAGTTCCATCAGCGAGGATGGCAGCAAAAGCAGTTGCGGCAGCCTGGATGTGCTGCACGCTCTTCAGCTGAGTTTGCACGGAGCTGCTGTCACCACCTAAGCCGGCCTGACCCCAGGTCACCACGGAGCCGTGGTACAGGATTGCGGCAAAAGCTCCTGCAGAAGCTTGGATGCTCTGAACGCCCTTCAGTTGCGCTTGCACCCTGCTGCTATCGCCACCGTAAAAGGGCTCGCCCCAGGTTACGACAGATCCATCACGGAGGATTGCGGCAAAAGCGCGCGGAGAATCTTGGATGTGTTGGACTCCCTTCAGCTGAGCTTGCACTGAGCTGCTGTCGCCACCACAAATGGGATCACCCCAAGTCACAACAGATCCATCACCAAGGATTGCCGCAAAAGCTCCTGCAGAAGCATGGACGTGCTGCACGCCCGTCAGTTGAGCTTGCACAGACTTGCTGTCGCCACCGAAGTCCGCGCTGCCCCAAGTCACGACGGAGCCGTCACGCAGGATTGCAGCAAAAGCTTGTTGAGAAGATTGGATGTGCTGCACGCCCTTCAGCTGAGCTTGCACGGACTTACTGTCACCACCAGAATCAGCAGCGCCCCAGGTCACGACAGATCCGTCATGCAGGACTGCGGCAAAAGCATGTTGAGAAGCTTGGATGTGCTGCACGCCCTTCAGCTGAGCTTGCACTGAGCTGCTGTCGCCACCAAAATCCGTGCCGCCCCAGGTCACAACAGATCCATCACCGAGGATCGCGGCAAAGGCACCGCCGTGGTCTCTATGCATTGTGAACATCGACGCTGTGACTTGTGGCAGCCGTATTTGCAGGCATAGCTCATCACCGTTCTGTATCCTTGCCTCCTTAACTGTCAGCGCTGCATCCAGCATGCGACCGTCAGCACTTAACAGCCGCCCTTTGCCAACACCCAGCGTGCTCTGGGCTGTTCGGCTCAATGCCTCCACAGATGCATCCTCCTGTGTCTCAAGAGAAGCCCTCTCGCCGCTGAGCAGGTACACAGCAACCGAAATTGCCATGGCCGGGAGAAACCCTATTTACACTCTATACCCCCTTTTCAAGCGGCCCTGGTTAAGAATACAGCCCCGTACCGTGGATGCCCGAGGCTCATCTGTAAGGCTGGAAGTTCTCATCACCCCACTAAGCCCTAGGCAGAAAACCCTAAAGAAACCCTACAAACCCGAAAAAAACCTTTTAACCCTAGAAACCCTATAAACACTATAAACCCTATAAACCCTATAAACCCTATAACTGCAGCCCTACGCCCGAACCCCTGTGTCTAAGCATCCTTTTTATGGGTGCACCCCTTTGCCATGACGGTAGCCCAGGAACCATATTATAATAAGGGCACCTTTTTTTTGGGTTGGTTACTTTATCAGGGAACCTTGAACCCAAAAAAAGGGGGAATGCCCAATACCATATTATAATAAGGGCACCCTTTTGGGGGGGTCGTTTCTAAGGGAACCTTGAACCAAAAAAAGGGAAAAGGGTACCATTGGGCAACCAAGCCAGTGCCAGACCTCCATGAGCCGACACCCCATTCATCATCTCCATGCAAAGAAGGCCGCAACCCGGCAAAACCATCATCAAAGAAAACCCCAAACACCCCTAAACCCCAAACCCCAAACCCTAAACCCCAAACACCAAACTCTAAACCCTAAACCCTAAACCCTATAAACCCGAAACCCTAAACCCTGAACCCTAAAAACCCGAAACCCGGAACCCTGTAAACCCTGTAAACCCAAAAAATCCTAAACCCAAAAAACCAAAAAAAAAAACAACAACAAAAAACGAACAAAAAACACAAAAAAAAAAAAAAAAAACTGGGGCTGTCCTTCGATGTGGCTCTGGGTCGGAACGGTCTCTACGCGACCCAACACAGGGCGGTGAAAGGCGCCCACCTTGTCTCCTCTCCAGGGCTCAGGCGTTGTTAAAGTTTAGGGTTTGTAGTGTTTGTAGGGTTTGCAGGGTTTGTAGGGTTTGCAGTTTGGGGTTTCGGGTCGGGGCCAAACCTGTTCAGAGTTCAGCACGGGAAGTTCTTGGTGAAGCATGATACGGATAGGCGTACGCGGAGAGACAGATCTGCCTGGCCTGCACCTACCAGATGCCTTCTTAGTTGTCCAGTAACCTGGAAGAATTAAAGGTTAACCTTTAGGATTTTATAGGGATTAGACTACCCTAAAAGGTTAAAGGTTACCTACTCTACTACTAAGCCTGTCAAAGATAGGACTTTGGAAGCACCATGACCCAAAGGTATATTTTTCCCGAAACAGGGGAACCCCTTATATGTTTCAAAATAGAGCAGAAACCTCCTTCTTAAGGACCCCCAACATAAGTACGGACCTGAATTTTGGAAGCCCCCTCCCCCGCCCTCCCCATGTATGGCGCATGATGTCAGCTGTGGCGACATCCGAACTGTGGATCAAGGACTTCTGAGAACACACGGTTGCAAGGGGACCCGGATGATGAGCAACCCTTCAAACCCAAAGCCCCTCAAGCCTTAATCCCTAAACCTTACTCAAGCTTTCCTAAACCCTAAACCCTAAACCCTAAACCCTAAACCCTCCAACCCCTCGGTCGCTCCTAGCACTTGGCGTGTCCAGTTCGGGAGGTCCACGGGATTGTACAGCGCGGACGAGAACATGGCATCGCCGAAGTTCACCTCGGGGTTTATAGGGTTTAGGGTTTAGGGTGTGTCTTCTGTCTATGTGTCTGTCTGTTTTTCTGTGGCTGCGGCTATGATTTCCGGACCCCCTATCGGTAGAACTCCCCAACAAGCTAGCCATGGCATGAGATTGATACAATAGCGAAGGTCAACATCGATCGCCCTTGTGCATCTCAGCTGCAATGATCCGGTCGAAAGTGAAGTCTGGCGGGAACTCCGCATCCAGACCTTAGTCGGTCGGTTGGGTGTGCTGCTCTGGTTTAAGGTTTAGGGTTTAGGGTGTAGGGTTTAGGGCTTAGGGCTTAGGGCTTAGGGCTTAGGGCTTAGGGCTTAGGGTTTAGGGCTTAGGGTTCGGGTTTAGGGTTCTAAGTAAGCCCTGAACCCCCAAGCCCTAAAAAATTAAGTCACAACCTAGGTTAGTTCAATGCTGCCACGGGGCAGCAGGTGTTCATCAATCTGGACCCGATCACTGGGCCTGACGAAACCCAGGCTTAGGGTTACTACGGGGAAATGGGTGAGACTGCGAGTCCTCTCGGCCTCGTCTAGCATGAAATCTTCGGTGCGACTGCTTAACGACCGTTCAGGCTTCAGGGTTTCAGTCTCAGGTCTCAGGGCTTAGGGCACCCTCCAAACCTGCCGTGGCTTCCATAGGCCCCAGAGGGCACTCAAAAGGGTTTAGGGTTTACGGTTGAACCCTAAACCCTAAACCCTAAACCCCAAACCCTAAATCCCAAGCCCAAGAATGCTCCAACGCGCCTGGGAGTGAGAGTTGAGTCGCCCAAATGAGTTCCTTGGGGCGAGCCCCACCCCCACCCGGACCCTAAGCCCGGAAGCTCAGACCCAAGCAGGTTTGGGGTTTGAGGTTTGGGACTCTTAGGGTTTTGGGGTTTGGGGTTTGGGGTTAGGGGTTGAGGGTGTGGGGCTGAGGGCATGGAACTTAAGATTTAGGGTTGAAGCATTTTGTGGCTCTTGAGTCCTGAAGGCGGCCTCCGTCCCAAACCCAAAGACCAGATTGAGATGGCAACAGCTGGGGCAAAGGTAGAGGTGTACTGCAAATAATTTTTTGCATTACATCATATTCTCTTTTGGAAAAAGGTTATGGTGCCCTAAACTGTCGAGACCTCAGTGCAGACCGGGCGGCATTTGAAATCCACTTGTAGGCATTTGTGTCTGCCATCAGCACCACCTGCATGTTGCGCTCCAAGCCCAAACCCTGAGCCTAAACGCTGAACATCCTCTATCCTGCCGCCCCCACCCCCGGCCCCCACCCCAACCCCCACCCCGCCCCCCCCACCCCCCCCCCATGGGATCCAAAGTGGGTAGGTATTCGATACCGGAGTAGCGAGCTTCACTCATGAATGCTTGGACTTGAGATACTGAACCCTAACCCCCAAAACCCTAAACTCCCGAAGTACAAGGAGCGATGACCCCAAGCCCTCCAGACGAGGCCCCAGAGAAGCCTGCGAACAAAACTTGGCCGCACTTAGGAGGGTAGCAAAAAATTGAACTTTTAGCTACCTTACTAAGAAACCCAATAAACCCAAAAAGGATAAAGATGTAAAGTTACAGTAAAGCACCACAAAGAAAAAGGGTGGCCCTTGGTGCGTAGTGGGCTCCGGAAGGTAACCTGTAACCCCTGTAACAAAGGAATCAAGGCCAACCGGTCAAGCCTCCAACACCTCTAATCCCACAGCCAATGCCGCGGTTTCCCGGCAAATCTGGAATTAACCGGGGAACCCGTTGTGTGGCCTTCAGTTTAACCCGAAACCCTAAACCCTAAACCCCAAACCCCAAACCCTAAACCCTAAACCCTGAGCCCTAAACCCTCTCCACCTTTTCGGTGCCGGTCTTCTGCATCAGATCGGCCAGGGCCAGCTGGAGATGCTCGGTGGCGGCAGTCTGGGAGTACCTTGGAGGTTTAGGGTGTAGGGTTTAGGGTTTAGGGTTCCGGGTTTAGGGTTCAGAGTTTAGGGCTCAGGGCTATTCAGAGTTTAGGGTGAAGCTTTAGGATTGAGGGCATGATCCCCCGGAAGGAAGGCAGCACGCCTCCCGACTTAAAAACCCTCCATCCCCAAACACTCCGGCACCTAAACCTCGAACCCTTGGGGTTTTGAGTTTAGGGTTTAGGGTTAAACCCTAAACCCTAGCACCTAAACACGATAACCAATGCAACCTGAAACCCTCCAAGGCTATGCCTGTAAGCCCAATATACCCTTAGACCCTCAGGGTTTCGGGTTTAGGGTTTAGGGTTTAAGGTTTAGGGCTTAGGGCTTAGGGTTTAGGGCTTAGGGCTTAGGGCTTAGGGCTTAGGGCTAACCCCCCAGGGTCTCTGGGCAGCGTCGCAGCTTGCTGCTCTGAACAATGCCAACAGCTGGCGTTTGAGAGAGCTCAGGGCTTATGTGTCATGGTTAAGGGCTTGCTTGGAAGCTCTTTTGACTTAGTAAGTCTACTTAGGAACCCCTACAAACCCCATCATAATCTCACAAACCCAACTTACTCACCCTACTTAGTAAGTCAAAAGAGCTTCCAAGTAGAGTGAGGTTTTTGGCTGGTTAGGATTAAGACCAGAGAGTTTCAGGGCTTTGCGGGTTCAAGGATTGAAGGGTTGAGGGGGTTGCCATGGGTTGAAGCACTTGGGCTGTAGTGCTTGAGGGTTTGGGTTTCAAGCCCGTCTGTAGAAGACTCAGAAAAGGTCGGTCTGAAACCCTAAGCCCGAAACCCTAAACCCTAAACCGCATGCTATCAGACCCGGCAGCCGCAAGCCCTGAATCAGCCATATCCCCTGATCTAATTCCCCCATTCCCTACCAGGGTTCAGGGTCTAGAGTTTCATTGACCGGCCCTATATGTGGGCTGACGCTATTTCGGGCACCTTCTTGAGATCCTTATCAGGGAATCCTACTAGTCTGAACTAGGGGTCCCCTATTTTCGTAGACCCCCCGTATGACTGAAGCCCCCCCAAAACGCGGAAGCCCTAAACCCTAGACCCTAAGCCCTAAACCCTAAACCCTAAACCCTAAGCCCTAGACCCTAAGCCCTAAACCCTAAGCCCTAAACCCTAAACCCTGAGCCCTAAACCCTAAACCCTAAGCCCTAAGCCCTAAACCCTAAACCCTAAACCCTAAGCCCTAAACCCTAAAGCCCAGGGGCTCGTCCGCACTCTGGGTCAAGCTTCTCGGGTGTGGGAAGTGGGCGGCCACGGCGATCAGCTGCAAAGGGCTCCGAGCTGTGAGGGTTTAGGGTTTAGGGTTTAGGGTTTAGGGTTTAGGGTTTAGGGTTCAGGGTTCAGGGTTTAGGGTTCAGGGTTTTCGAGGTGTAGGGTTTGTGAGCTTCAGGGTTTTTCAAGCTGCGCCAA